CCTTAGATAAGGTTTGCACCGGCTCAGAGGGATGAGCCCAGTAGAACTCTTCCCTAGGCAGCACACCTCCGATGAATCAGCCCAAATCCTTGAGTCCTTATTTATTACGATAGCAATAATTAAGGAGATTATGCTCACCTAATTTGAGTAATTATCTCACAAACCCCAAGTTAAACGACTAATTGACTTGATATATGGGCTAATGGGTCTTAACATGCCCAATAAACGTTCAACGCGTAGGCACCTACGACAACAAAGTAGCCAAGACAAATTCATATATAAACCAACTTTCTTCCTAAGAAGAAGATAAATGTTCCTTGAAATCGAGAAACCCTACTTTGCTCATTGCTCACAATTGACTTTGGCATTGTAGACTCTTCGGCTCACACCACACTCATTTAGCCTTGTCTCTTTCTTCTGAGTTTTAGGGCACAAAGGTCTTTCCAAGCAGTGGAGATATTAATTCTCCACAATTGAAGCAATAGAACATGTTAGGTGTCCTCTTGTGTGGCGAAACGCAAAACACCAAAGTCGCACACTGACATATATTCCTATAGATAAGATTGTGCCATGTTGTTTTTTTAATTTTTAAGTTTTTCAAATGAAGGGAAAAATCTAGTTCTCTATGCAATGAAAGCTTAAAATTTTTTGTATGAAAATTCATATGAACTCATGTTCATATGGTGATGCATTTTATGCCTAGCTGCATATTGTAAGAGACTTCATAAAAGATTTCCAAACTACTTGAGAAATTCATTCCCCACAATATTATTATTTTGTTTATTTTCCAAATACTTGATTGAAGGAAACCTTTTAGTTTTTAAAGATCATTTGAACATACATGCATACATAATCTCTATTATGTCAACAGAAGCTTAAATACAAAAACATGAGTTCAAAATATAATATTTTCCCATATCTTTAAGCCTAAAGACATTGAAGCACCTAGACTCTTCTAAACACTACTAGAGATAGAGAAGAGATTTCTTTATACCATTGATCACCCATGGAGGGCCTTCACCAAAAGATTCTCCAAGAAAACCACACAAGTGCATGACCTCTAATTTCATACACACCAATGAAGAGAGAAGGAGATGAAGCCTAGGGGTTGAAGATGCTAGTGTTCAACACCCCTAGGTTGTCGGCCATGGTAGAGGGGAGAGTGAGAGTGCCTCACTCGCCTCACTCAATCCCCTAAGATGACTCAAGGCTTAACTATATATTTATAGGCTAGACATTTTAAGTTGAGTCACCCATGACCCATATCCAACTTAAAATGACTCATGTGAGTCATCAATTGGGTCAAACCCATTCCACTTCCCTTCTGGTCGGTTTTGGTTTCTTTATTGAGCCCCTTGAGCTTCTTTAGTTAAGTTGTCATTTACAACTCATCTTATAAGCCCAATGGACCTCGAACCCCATAACTAATTTTATGCACAATACAATTCTCGAGCCTTGATCAATTAATTAATCTATATTTAATTAATTAATCATTGCTCATCATCTCATAATTAATTTTCATCTCTTACCTTTATGGGTGTGAGATCCATTAAGCTCTAATCGGCGAGGCAGTGGGGGATTTGGACTCTTTCTTAATCAATTGTGAATTAAACCCTATTTTTAATTCTCCCTATTATGAGAACCCAATTATGGTATGTCCTCAGGGCTTCCATAAACTGTGAGTGACGTCTAACAATATTTCACGGCTACCCAAGCCAATGTAGAATGAGGTAAAGAACCTATTTAGATGGAATTACAATGTACTACTACAATCATTCTCTAACTCAATGCTCTTGGTCGCATCATTAGGGCATGAAAAATATGACAAGCCCCTAATGAGAACTCCAAGCTTATATGACTCACACAAGTATGATTAGAATCCCTATTCTCAATCATATTATTGCTTCGGCCAAAGACTCCTGAATCATATCATTAGAGCATTCTCCCTCTTTATTGAAGGTAGAGATCTCTTGTTGTACACTCACCTGCCTACATGGATTGATCATGAACCCCAACCATACTATAAAGTCATGCCCTCAAGAGAACTCAACTATTTGGTATGATCTAAGATTCATAACGCTTCCACAAGACAACTGTGGTGCCTCGATCAATAACTAATTTATATTATTACAACTATGGAGATCTTGTTTGACATGTAGGTAAAACATCCATACAAGATCTCCCGGTTGATTGTGTTCAGTGAATTCACTCTCTAGTGAACACTCATACACTTATGTTAGTGTCTCTGCACAAATGACTTAAGACCGGTCATTCTCTCAATTGAGCAGATACAGTGTACATTGGTCTTTGCAAATTTTCATTGCTTAGTTGACAATCCTATGACTAGGAACTCCTTAGGATGTGAGTTATAGGGAAAGTTCTCATAGACTTAATTTCTTTAGATCGCTTTCTACATCTCACTACCCATAGACTTGTCTTTTAGGTAAATAGCTATTAATGAAACTATAACCTAAATTGACGTAATTACCCTTATGATTTACCGCAAAATGTAATAAAATATCCATAAAGTTACATCACATATTTGGCTTTAGGACATATTTCCAACATTGATCTCTTACTATTTTCTCATCTAACAAAAAAAAAGTCATTTCTCATGAAAATCTTGATTTTTTTCCCTTGCTCATTAATAAAAGATGCTAAACCTAATTGTAAATAAAATTGATGTGTATACAAACAAAGTAATTTTGTTAGTAACAATGTCTTTTATAAACGCATTAAAAGTATAAATTGGATACCTCCATATAATATAAACTGTATAAAAGTCTTTAAGGACTCGTTTGATAACCATTTCAATTTTAGTTTTTAGTTTTCATTTTTTGTGCTAGAGTTTAAAGGAAAATGAGAGTGAGAATGGGAGTGAGGATGAGAGGGGATGATGGGAGGGAGGAGTAACAAAAGTGAAAACAAAAACTTGAAAAGTGTAAACATTTCAAATAGATTTCACCTTTTAGTTTTGGGTTTCACTTTTGTTACTCCTTCCTCCCATCCTCCTCCCCTCTTTTCTTCCTCTCAATCCCATCTCCATTCTCATTCTCACTTCCATTCTCTCTATTTTTTTCTCTATATTCTAGCACAAAAAATGAAAACTTAAAACTAAAATTGAAATGGTTATCAAATGGGCCCTAAAAATTTGAATTGGATACACCCCTGAGCATCTCCAAGGGAAAAGGCAAAAGAGTAGGCAAACCTCATTTACCTTGCCACATCAGCATTTTCATGCTCTAACACCATCTCCAACCTATGTATTTTAAGGGGTGGAAATTTGAGATGGGTGGAATTCTGGGCGGAATTCCAGTCTGGGTTTTGCCTGGATTGGAAATTTTTTGTGGACCCCAACTCATGCTGCACAGCCCACGTGAAGAGTAAAAATGGAGCAAACCCATGTGACAAAAAGTTGCTGCTCTCCCTTTGCTTCCCCATGACAAGTGGTAGCTCACCATTTGTAGTTGTTATTTCTTTTTTTTAATTATTAAACTTGCAACTTAAAGTTGCTCTATTTTGTGGAAAAAAATTTAAGTTGATGTGCTTTTTTTTTCTTTTTCTTTTGTTGTACTTAAAAGTGGGGGTGGGCATCAAAACCGGAATACTGAAATTGTCCCAAAACCATGCCAATCTCGTGTCGTCCCATTTGGTGTTGATGTGTAAACGGGATGATACTGTGTCATCTCGTTACTGTTTAGCACGACACCGATTCCAAATTTGTGATCCCGTTTGGTGCCATATTGTACCGAACAGTACCAAGTAAATAATAAATCCCAATTTCAGTTCCTCCTTTCTCACGAACATTTAACTCAAGCTTTGTTTCCTCCGTCCTTTCCTTCCTTCTATCTATTCTTCTCTTCTCTTCTCCTTTCTCAATCATCGATTTGAAGCCGTAATTCCCAAATCCTCCACCATCGATCGATCTCATCTTCTCCTCCTCCTCCTCCCCTCTCCCTCTCTCTTTGTCACACCCTAATTCCCAATCCTCCATCAATTTGAATTCATCTTCTCAATCTCTATTTCTCTCTGTTTGACATCAGTCAAACCTTCTTCTCCTCTCTTAGCCTATGTTATGCAAACAGGTTTTTTATGGTATAAAAAATGACATCGAATCATACCGGTCCCGTTTGGGGCCGGTATGGTTCGAACGTTTTTTTAAAATCCCTCATCCCGTCCTGTCTCGATGCTTCTATCCGGGATTGACACCGGGATGACCTCCATCCCGTGTCATCCCGTACCGTGCCCAGGCCTATTTAAAAGTGAAATTATATTATGTTTTGAATTTTGAATTTTTTTAGGTTAAAATGTTCAGAAAATTAAATTATGAATGTTGAAACAAAAATAATGTCAAGAAAAATTAAAGGTTAACCATTTTAAAACAATTTAAATAAAGTTGCAGACTCAAATTATGAGTCTGCATGGTTGGAGATAAAAACAATTTGAGTCCTAAAAATACATGAATAGTTGTATTTTAGAGGGTGAAAATTTGAGTTTAGCCTCAATATGATTGGTGATGGTCTAAGGGAAGAGGCAAATGGGGTAGACAAAAATACCTACTCTCCCTAACAAGGCAATATTGGCTACTTCAAAGTAAATAAGTATATTGGACCCCACTTGCTTTTCATAATAAAATACCATTTACACTCTCTAACATACTTTCTATAAAATATAATAGTAAATGTAAAAGCTAAAAATAAATAATATAATAATAGTTTGTAGACTTGCATTGCCCAGTCCCTTTGAGTGACCAACTTTTTTCATAAGGCAAATGCATAGGCAAAACATGCCACCTAAGTTGTTATAATACAATTTTGCCTACTTCATTTGCATACTCCCTCGGAGAGAGTTTTATCGATCTTTTTTATTAAGTTAATAATTAATTAATTAAATAAATACGGGTCAAATTTTCATTAAAAATTTTCACAGTTTTTTAGTAATTTCCATAATGTTTATTCAAATTTTTTTTTTTACAGATAACAATCTCTACCTCGAAAACCAACCCCCCCCGGTCCCTCCCTTCCGAATAATTCCGAAACGTCCTTGGGTATAGTCCAGCTCATCCAGCCCGCCCAGCCAGTCCTCAGCCTTGCAGCCTCTCGCTCCACTGCTCCAGCCTCCTCGGTAAGTCCTTCATCTTTTCAGCTCAGCCTAGCCTCCTACTTCTCCTCTTCTTCTTCTTCTTCTTCTTCTTCTAATTTAATTTATTATTATTGTTTCTAAATTCTAGTTCAGGGATTTAGGGTTTTTATTAATTGAAATATAATCTAGGGACAAAGGGATTCAGGGGTTCAATTAATGTCTAATTTCTGATTTTAATTCTGCTTAATTTGCGAATTTAGGAATTTAGTTTAGGAAAGGCATTGGGATTTTGGAATTGAGTTGGAGCTCCAGACTTCTGTTGTTAAAATTTTGATTGATGTTTGTATAACTATGTTGCTGTGGCTTTATGAATTTTCGAGTGGACTCTCATTGTTTTATTTCGGCTTTCAGCCTTTTGGCTTTCCTCTGGTTGTTAGCTTAGCATCTTGTGGGCTTGCCAGCTACAATTTTGGGAAATGTCATAAAAGCAAATGAGATTCTTCAGATATTTAGAGTGAAACTTTTGATTTAAAAATTGGCTTAAAAGTTCAGCCAACCCCAGTTTCAATTCCTGGGTCTGTGTCTGGTACTCATCATTTGTGATTGTCACTAATGAATATGAAGGTTTCTTAAGACAATAGGAAAATGAAAACTGAATATGTGCGTGGGAAGAGCTCTTGTTGTTTCCCATTGCTGCAGCTGATTGAATTTTTTGTTTTTTGTTTTGTTTTTTGTATTCAATAAGTTTCGTGATTAAATTATTTCTCTAATTTCTTATACCTGAGACATCTTTTTATTCTTTGTGGGAAAAATATGTTGATTAAATGTTGATGAACTTTGTAATTTTCAGACTATTAATTCATCTTATGTTGCCACTGATGACAGGTAGAAAATGCCCAAGGTAAAGACAAACCGAGTCAAATACCCAGAAGGTTGGGAACTGATTGAGCCTACCCTTCGTGAACTACAAGCTAAGATGAGAGAAGGTTTGAATGTTTCCATGTTTTTATTACATTGTTCGCTGCACTTTATAAAATATGTGTTTAAGGACCCAAAGGGATACTAATGCATATTTCCTTATTCTTTTGGACAGCTGAGAATGATACTCATGATGGTAAGAGGAAATGTGAGACCTTGTGGCCTATTTTCAAAATAGCACATCAAAAGAGCCGCTACATTTTTGACCTTTACCACCGAAGAAATGAAATATCCAAGGAATTATACGAGTTCTGCCTGGACCAAGGCTATGCTGACCGCAATCTAATTGCAAAATGGAAAAAGGTTTTATCTCAGATCTCTTCTATCTTGATTTGTTTTCTTTTTCTTCATTTGGATTATTTGTGTGTGGAGTTCACTGCATGATATATCAAACTTGGAAATAAGTTGTCTGGTTTGGAATTGGAGTTCCTTGTAAATAAGGTTCAAAGAGTATAAGCATGAATATTTTATATTTGAAAATTGGAGTGAACATAGCATTGCTAGAAAATTGGCAAATGCAAGGGAAATACATACACATGGGACATGTGTAGTTATGACATGGATATGCATACCAAGAAGATATTAAGCAATATGAGAGATCTTTCAACATTTGATTGAACTCAGTTTGAAGTTCCCATTCTACATGTATTGCACCTTCTGTAATATATTTGCAGGTTGTACGTAAAACTATTGGATAACAGTTACTTTTATTAGAACATTGGAATTATGAGGAAAATATTGCAAACTCGTGTACCTTGTGTCATTTTATCTAAGTCTGTTGAATTATTATTATATTACCACTCAACTCTAATAACATACAATGACATATGGTTTGCGATTAAAATGCAGCCTGGTTATGAACGTCTCTGCTGTTTGAGATGCATGCAGCCTCGGGATCATAACTATGCCACTACATGCGTTTGCCGAGTGCCCAAGCATCTGCGGGAGGAGAAGGTTATAGAGTGTGTGCATTGTGGTTGTAGGGGCTGTGCTAGTGGAGATTGATTAGCATGTCATCTGTTCGTTGAAGTGTAATACCAGATGATTGGACCAGGTTAACCTTGTTACCATTAGTTGGGAATTTGTGACTGTTAGCTGACCTTAACTTTCCTGATTCTAGGCCCTTTGCAACTTGTATTAGTAGTATATATCTGCTTCTACTGTTCTGAACAACAGTTTGTGATAATCAACTAACTACAACTTGAAAGCTGAAAGAAAGTATGTTTCGTTTGGAGTTTGGAACTTCCAAGTTTGCCATCAATGAGTTTAAGTCATCCTCACCGTTTTTTGTTTTTGAAAACTTGATGAATGATTCTAAATTCTAATTACACATGGAGAATATTTTCTTTGGTTAAGATTGCGTTAGGTATATGCCTTAAAGTCAATCATAGGAACATAAGTATTTTTAAGGAGTACTTCTATTTCCGCCATCTGGTCCTATTTTCTCACCCATCTTATTTTTCCACTTACTATGTAAATTTGAAAAAGTGATTTTCTATTTAAACCCCACACTTCTCTTACCCTCCGTTTGGATGAGGGAAAATAACTCGGAATTTAGCTAAAAGTAGGGAATTTAAGAGGAGAAATTGACAATTCCCTTGTTTGGCAACTTAAGCGCGGAATTTATTAAATGATGCGCGGAAAAAATCGTGGAAATTGGGGCATCAAATTCCCGAGTTTAATTTCCACCAAAATAGGTGTCATTTCACAATTTCCATAGTGCGAGAATTCATATTTTCCAGTGTGCCAAAACTTACATAAAAAAAGGGCCAAACTTTTCATTAATAATAATAAAAAAGTACACATCTCTCTGGATCAAATTTGAAGGTTAGTCTTCAAGCTTTTCTCTCCTTCAATTTATGTTTTTCTATTTCAGGGTTACCACGGTTTCTAAATGGCTATCAAAATTGGGTGTTTCTGACTAAATTTATGAATATGTGTTGAATGGGTTTTGTGATCTTTGCAGCACTATGGCTAGATTTTGGGAAGTTTTAACAAAATATTCTATGTCGATGGATATTGGTGTGTGATGATTTGTGTTTATGGTACAGCTCTGTAGTTGTTTGCTAGCTTTATCGCTTCGTGTTATCGCCTTATTCAAGTTTTACCCTTCGTTTCCTTACTCTGAAGAAAAAGCCTATGTTGCTGAAAAGCTTTTTATATACTATGTAAGGAAATGAAAAGCTTTGTTGATTATTATATGCTGCTGAAAATCGATTTTGGTCTTCACTCATTCTTATTTGACATTGATTATTTGTTTGGTAGTCTGATGATGATGCTAGAGGTTTTCGATTTAAAGTTATAGAAAATTGGGATGATATAGTGGATTTGTGTAGCAAAGATAGAGTCACTGGAGAGGGCGCTGAAATAGGTGCAGATGCAACTGAGGTTATGACTCCTACTAATGAAGTTGATCATGTTGATTTGAATGGTGATACACAAGATTAAGAAGAGTTTATCTGATTGCTAGAATGGCTTTATCATTTGAAGAGTTTATTTGTGCTGATACTAAGAACCCTGATCCAGCAGAGGTATATGATGTAGTACAAGAAGTACCAGGTCTTAGTGAAAATGAACAACTCAAAGCATGTGCTTGGCTGATTGAAAATGACAAACAATTTCAGATGTTGAAGGCACTCCCAATTAAGAAAAAAAAGAGTATGTTGTTGATGTTTATTACACGTGGGGAGTGATTTGGTTTGCTAATATGCTTTGTTTGTTTAAGTTGAGTTATTTAGTTCATCAAACAATATGTTATTTTATACTTCGAGGAATACCTTCTATGTCAGTTATCAGTTTTTTTGTTCTTTCGAAATATTTAATTTCTGTCATTTACAATTTAAATGAGCTATCCAAACATTGAAATTTTCAATTTTTGTCAATTACAAAATTTGACGTACATAAATCCAAACACTCGAATCTTCAATTGCTAGAAATTGAAATGATGGAAATCTAAATTCCGTCATTTTAGAATTCTATGTAATTTGCAATTCCTTTATCCGAACGGAGCATTAGTTCACCCCATGTTCTAAGTTCACCCCATCTTTTAATTTAAATTGTCACAATTTCTAAGAAAACCTCACCATCTTCCCAAACTACCCTTAAATACACCCCAAACTGAAAAAATAAGAAATAAAAGAGATTTTCTATTTAAACCCCACAATTTTAGTTCCCAGAAAAAAAAACACAAACAAATAGAACCCCAAACCCGAAATTTAATACTTTCTAGAGAAAGAGAACAACTTTACCTCTCTCCAAAAACTGTAACTGGAATTCTAATACTTGGGTATTGTTGAGTTGATAATCAACAAGCCTTTCCATAAACTCCCACACATATTTAAAGAGGAAGGCTTGTCAATTTTCTACGTCTTTAAAAAAGAAGAGTAATCTGGCAATAGGATGTAGAGGAGTTTGTATTTTTCTAAAATTTAATATGAAGAGTGGTGGAGTGTGTGTATAGATGTACTAGGGTTAATTATTAAGTTGGATGACCTTTTTTGTCTTTTTACACAATAATAAAACTTACAGCTTAATGATTTAAGTATTGGGGTGAACAAAGAGAAGTTCGGGGTTTAAATAGAAAATCTCTTTGAAAAAACACAATCCTATTTTTCCACCCACCATTATTCCTAAATTACCCTTTAATTATTAATTCAAGCAAATTCTTTAATTATTAATCCATCGATCATCATGACCAATCACCATCATGAGAAAATCCCACACAATTTATCTGTTTTATTTTCTTTCTTATTGGAATAAGAATTCTAGTCATATATGTGATTACCCATACCCAGACAGTACGAAGAGCATCGTGAAATGGAGTCGGTGATGGAAGAATCAAGAAGATACAAAATAACATGATAAGTACGAAAAACAAGGTTCAGTGGGTAATTATTTTCCATTTTTCGGAAGTGGTTGCGTGTACTTTTCAGCCACTTATTCTTTTCAAATTTTTCTTTGTTATTTTATAATCCAAAAATCAAACCATCTATGATTTGCTAGGAGTTACTAGAATTCGTCTAGTTTCTGCTGTGATATGCTGTTGTAGGTTGTTCTTTGGGGTTTATCCACCCTTTTTCATAAATTTTAAATTTAAAAAAAAAAAAAAAAAAAAAAGTTCTTCCTAATGCCATACAAACGAAGTTCTTGTTCCAAAAGGTAGCAAACATCTTTGAAGGGGTACTTGCAATTGATAATGTCAGAGGGGCTGGGTTAAGTGAAATTCCTAACAAGGGCAATTGCTAGAAGTTAGGGTTCAGAAGTCAGGAAGGGGGCTTAGAAGTTGGGATTTCATTTTGCCAAAGGGGAAAACATGGATAAGAAAAAATAAAGAAAAACAAATGGATGGAATTGTGGGCTTTTTTTTTTATGGTGACTATTGACGGCGAAGAAATCACTGAATTTGTAGAGGTGATGAGAAGAAGATGAAAGGATAGAAAGAGTATTAACATGAGTTGATGTTTTTTCTTTAAGTTCTTAGAAATCATTTTATATAGGGGTAAATTTGTTTTTAAAAGAGTCCAACAAAGCGGATGGGGAAATAAGATAAGGGGTGGAAATAGTAACACTCTTTCTGAGTATATTAACGAAGGGAAACTCATTCTTTTATGCATTTCAAGCATAAAAGAGTTCAACAAAGCTTCGGCGAGGAAATAATGTTCTAAGAGCTACAGTTGGAGACTTCTACTTTGTACTAGTTCCTAAATAATTTCAGTCGTAAGACTATTAACTGGGCATTCACGTCGAAAGACACATTTTGTCTCTGCTCAATGGCGACGATAATTAGTCTCGAGTTATCTGTGTGGAGACTCTACCCGTTTGGTTCATGGGAAAGGAGGCTTGGGAATGGGAATTCAATTGCTTTCCCATGTTTGGTAAGTCCGGGCATGGGAAATGGACGCCTTGCACATGGGAAAGTAGGGGGGAAAGTGATGCCCTCCTCTTAACTTGGGTTTTGTTTTCCCTCCTCATGGGAAAGTTTGGGAAAATGAGCCAACATTCAACGCACAATTTTCATGACTATTTTGTCCCTATGAACAATTTATAATTACAACGTATCATTAAATGCATTCTTTTTTTATTTGATTTAATATGGATATAATTGGAAAATTATACAAACTTTGTTTTCCATTCCTACTCAAAACAAACATGGGAAAGGAAACAAAGTGAAATCTCCCGGTTACTTTCCCAACATTACCAAACGTGGGAAAGGAATCTTTCATTCTCATTCCTTGGGAAATGACATGGGAATTGATTTCCCCTCAAATCCATTCCGTGAACCAAACGGGGTGTAAGAGAATAATGTGAATGCATATATTGTATATGGGGGTACACTGAAAGTGACTGTATACATGAATTCTTGAATAAAGTTATACATGTCATGATAATAGCATAAGCTTAATGATTTGTGTATGGAGACAATGAATGTACAATATACGATCGATCACCTCTAGTAAAAGAGGATAATATTCCATGAGACATTATATAATATGATTCAGACAAATCTTGCCAGAGTGAATTAGAACTAGTTTTTTTAATTCTATCGAATCAAATACGAGTCATGTTTGATGGAGTGTTCTTCATAGTATAAAATTAGGATTTGATGGTAATTCCATGTGAAATTACCTGCAGGATTACTAAAAGGACAATGCTTGGCTCCTGACCATTCCTCCTAAACACCTAACGTGGCTTCTTTACAAAACAACACATGGGTTTTTTTTTTGTTTTTTTTTTTTTTTTTTCAACTCTTTTAACTCAAGTCTTTGGCTGGTGATTAAAAGCACAAGTTTAACTCAAAAACATAACCAAATCATAAGCTAGAAGGGTACAAAATGATATACAATTATGAACCGATCAATAACCAACTGGCAGAGAGAGGAAGAAGAACGTTTTAATATTTTTACTATTTTAACCTATATATTATATCTATTTCTTATAATAATATTACATATAGTAGCCTACCCAAGCCCAAGGCACAGCCCCTGCCTTCGTCTCTTCATCCTTAAAACTAACCCAAGTTAAAGAAAACCTACAAAGAGACTTGAGTTAAAGGAGTTGAAAGAACCAAAAAAGGCCAAAAAAAAAAAAAGAAACACGTGTTGTTTTGAAAAGAAGCCACGTTGGTTGTTGAGGAGGAATGGCTTCTGATATATCAGGAGCCAAGCATTGTCCTTACTAAAATGCTTAGAGGGGAGTGAACAATTTAAGATTGGATTAATTACAGTTTAGTACCTTATGGTTAC